CGGGTCCTCTCCCTGGGGCTGTCTACGGGCGCGAGATCTCTGGAGTTTCGGACCACGAGCTTCTCTCCCTCAGGCAGTTGGCTGGGAAGGCCCTGAAGCCTAGCGCTGGAGGTCGGTCTCTCACCGCTCTCATGTTGTGTCACGGCGACCCGCCGTGGGTCGCCTCCATTGCCCCCGTCTATCGGTGGGCTAAAGAAGTCTGGACTACCCATCATCGCCTGTACCCCCATGCCCTCTCGTTCGCCACGCTGCGTTCGTCTTGGAACGCTGTTTTCTCGAGGCCCTCGGACCTCTGGAAGAGTGTCGCGGGCCCGATTAGTGCGATGGGGAAGTCTCTTGAGCGTATTTCGTGGTCCATGCCGTCCTTCACGGTTCTCCGTGATGATAAAGGAATCGGTGTTCACTTGACCCAGATCTCGCCCGCGATGGTCAGATCGTTGCTTGGGAGAGCGGTGCGTCGTACCCTCGAGTGGGATTTGGGAGCTAGGCACAACCTCGGGCGGGTTTGCACTGATGGGATCCTCAGTCACCTCGCCTCTCGGAAGATTTCGGCGTTCGAAAAAGGGTGTGTCCGCTCTCCCTTCTGTAATGCTATTTACACCAGGGCCAAGGCCAGGTCCCTGGGTTATGTTATTGATACCACGTGTTCTCTTTGTGGAGACGGAGATGACACGATCCGTCACCGTCTCTGGCGTTGCTCTGCCTGTGAGGATCCCAGGACGGAGCTAATTTCAGCTAAGGTGCGGGAGTGGGCAGGCCAAGCGGACGACGCCCTGGCTTGCTACGGCCTATTCCCCCACCCAGCTGAGGCCCTACCTCAGCCGTCGTTCGAGGAGGGGGTCGTCACGGAGATTTGTGAGGGGTGCGAGCATTTGGTTTTCGAGCAAGACTTCGCTGGGCAGATTTTTGTGGATGGTTCCTGCCTACGGCATCCTGTGGGCGAGCTCTCTCGCGCTGGATGGGCCGTCGCGTTGCTCGACCCTTCCAACGTGCAGGAGATGATCAGGATTCGGGGCCCTGTTTGGCCTCCCTACCCCCAGACCCCCCAGAGTGCTGAATACCACGCTTTTTGTGCTGCTGCCAGGTTTGTTGCCAATCATTCTACCATGCACTCTGACTGCCAGAATGTTGTAGAATATGCCAGTTTGGATTGGACCAAACAGACCAGCTACAAACGTTTCTACTCGGGGTGTGCCCAGTTCGTGCGTGATAACCTCCCTGCCATAATCACGAGCAAGGTGAAGGCTCACCAGAATGTTGACGAAGCGGCCGACGATAGAGACCGCTTCCTTCGAATTGGGAATAATTATGTGGATGCCGCAGCCAAGGTTGCTGCGGCCTCCCACCCACAGCCCAACAGGGAGCAGATTGAGGAGCTTGATAGGCAGTATGCAGTCGCTCGCGCTGTGGGATTGCTGGCTGCAAAGCTCCTCCCGCTATGGCCGCCTCTCGAGATGGGTCCTGAGGTCGTTCGTGAGGTCGTTTGTCGTGAGAGCGGTGCTGGCCTAGGGACAGCTGCAGCCGCTCCACACGTTTGGCAGCAGATAGGAGCCTTCTGGAGGTGCACTGTATGCTTGTGTGCTTCACGCGGGGTTCGGGCCCCGCCGCAGGAGCACGGCATTGGAGGTTGGTTTTGGCCTCCTCCGCCTGGCGCTTGCCCGCAACGCAGTAGACTTGATCCTGCGTTGTTTGCTGAGAAAGGGCATCGGTGCATCTCTCTCGAGTGCTCCGACTCGTCTCGTCTCATCGTGTGCCTGAGGTGCAAGGCCATCAGCGGGCAGCGTGCTATGAATTTGGCTCGCCAGTGCGCCGACCACCCCAGCAGTGCGGGTGCACGGCATTGCTGGCAGAGGATTTGCCGTGGCCTTCATCCAAAGAGTGATAGAGTCACGGTAGAGCGTGGACCCTGGTCGGAGCTTTAAGTGACCAGGGGCTGGCGGCCTGCCCCTCCATGCCGCCAGAGCGTTTTACAGAGGTGGAAGGGCCTGTAGCGGGCAAAAAAATCCTCCTCCTCCCCCTCCTCCTCCTCCTCCTCCGACTCCTCCTCATCCTCCTCCTCCCCCCCCTGCACATTATCTCCTCCTCCTCCTCCTCCTCCTCCACCTCCCCTTCCTCCGCATCCTCCTCCGCCTCTTCCACCTCCTTTTCCTGCCTCCCTCTCCTCCTCCTCCTGCCTCGTCATCCGCCTCCTTCTCCTCCTCCACCTCCTCCTCCTCCCACTCCTCCTCCTCTTCCTCCTTTTCCCTCGTCCTCCTCCTCGCTCTCGTCGTCCTCCCTCCTCCACCTCTATCTCCTTGTCCTCAACCTCCTCCTCCGCCTCATTTTCTTCCTTCTCCTCCTCCTCCTCCCGATCCTCCTCCTCCTCATCCTCCTGCTTCTCCTCCTCCTCTCCCTGGACCATGGCTTCAGCAGGGATGCTCGGCACAGAGTCGCCGACGCTCGACTTGTGTTGCGGGCGTCCTCGTCAGGCGGAAGGCGGCCTCGATGATCCGAGACATTCGCATTAAGTCGGGCGTGCCCCTCTACTGGAGGAATATTCAAAAATAGTATGAAGAGTCTGGGGACGACTTGTTACAGAGGAATTGGGTAGCATGGAGTATCTGGGGTTATTTTGATTTTGTCGTTTAAAATCGGCCTGTTGGGGGACATGCCCGACCTAACATTAGCAGTTTGCAAGAAGGGTCGGCCATGGAACGATCCGAACACGTCAGCGCAGCATCGCAGTACAGGCAGGATTCCCAAGGACTTGACCGCTGTACATGCGGGATGGTTTCTTGCGCACCTCGTGTCTCGGATTTCCTCTCCCCGCCTCCCACGATCCTCCCATCCTCCCTCCTCGTCCTCCTCTTCCTCCCTCCTCTGTTGCCCATGCAAATCCCTCCTCCTTGCACCCGCCCTCTTCTTTTCTCAAAGTCTCCTTTTTTTCCTTTCCTTCAATCGATCTTTCGAAGCAGCATCCCTCCATTTCTGCGTTTTGTTGATGCGTTCCTCCTTATTTCCCCGTCATGGTTCATCGCCCTCCCCATCTTACCTCCCTCATCGTTCCTGCTGTCCTTTCTCATTTGTGCCGTGTTGGCTCTTCTCAGTTGTATCGTTTTCCTCCCCACTTCATCCGTCAACACTCCTCACCCACCATCCCTTCATAAATCCTTCCATTCGAATAAGATATGCGTGGTTGCTGTTTGGCCCGAGCTCCGGAGCGACAAGCTCTCTCTGAAAAGGCAACGTATCGTTTGCACCAATTGTAATACCACCGTGTTTTCTCTCTCATGTATCGTGAACCCTGCAATTCTAGTCTCCCCCTCCCCTCCCTCCCACTTATTATACCATCCTTCCGTTTACCTCCACCCTCAGCTCTCCCAGCCTTGCCCCATGTATGCCTATTCCTTCCGCATTTCAGCAAGTCTCCCTCTGTTCTCAGAGAACCCCATCCGTGGTCTCTCCTCCTTCCCTCTCGTATTGTCTACATCTCGGTTGTACTCCTCCCGTGTCCCACCTTCTTGTATCATCCGCCCTCATTGCTTGCCCATCCTCCTGCTCCCAGTTTCTGCTCTCTCATCGTTCCTTGTGTTCCTTGTCCCCTCCACCTCTTTCAGACTACTACTTCGTCTCGGTTCGCCGTATCGCCCGCTCCTCTTCCTGCTGTCTCACCCCTCCAAACGTCTCCCTCCTCCCTCTCCACCTGTGCCTCCTCGTCCCTCCTCATCCCTCTCCGCTTCTCACCGTCCCTTCCTAGGGCCTCCCTCGTTCCTCCTGCCTCCGCCATCCATCCCTCCGTCATTGTCCTGTTTGCCTCTTCGTCTTTCTTCCCTCCTCCACATTGCTTGCGTTCTCCTCTTTCGCCTCCTCCCTCCTTTTACCTCGCCTTCCTCTTCCGCCCTCCCCCCCTTTCCGTGAATAGTCCCTCCCGCCTCGTTATTTTTTTCTTGTTTGTGTCTTTTTTGTTTACCTTTTCCTGTGCAAGCTCTTCGGCACCGCCTGTACTCCGCACCCTCTGGCCGCCTGAGGCCCCGCCCGCCCGCGCCCTGTTTCCCCAATTAGTGCTTCGCGCGCCCCGCCTAGCTCCTAACCGGAAGAGGCCCGCTCTCGACCCGCCGACCAAACATTGTTTGTGTCCCTTTCCCCAGTCTCCCCCTCTCCCTCCTTCCCGGAGGGCCGAGGGAGGAGGCGGAGGAGGCGAGGGAGGATGCAGAGGAGAGGGCCAGTAGGTGGAGGGGGGCGAGGCCGCGGAGGACCTCAGAGGAGTGGGCACGGGAGAGGGCAAGGGGCAAGGGGGAAGCGGAGGCATTCAGGGAGAGGAGGAGGAGAAGGAGGTGGAAAGGAGGAGAAAAGGAGGAGGAGGAGGAAGAGAAAAGGAGGAGGAAATGAGGAGAAACGGAGGAGGAGGATGAGGAGGAGGAGGAGGAGGAGGAGGAGGAGGAGGAAAGGAGGAGGAAAGGAGAAGGAAAGGAGGAGGAGGAAAGGAGGGGGAAAGGAGGAGGAAAGGAGGAAAGGAGGAGGAAGGGAAAGGAGGAGGAGGAGGAGGAGGAAAGGAGGAGGAAGAAGAGGAAACGAGGAGGAGGAGAAGGCCTACGTCCAGGCCTCTCAGATGGGGTCGGAGTAGATGGGGTCGAAGGATCGCTTCGCATCGCCGATGCATCGGCGATGCGGCTCGATGTGGAGCCCGTGTTTCCCCGTGCCGACGTCGCCGATGCATCGCCGACGTCGCCGATGCATCGCCGATGCATCGCCGATACATCGGCGATACATTGGCGATGCGGCGCGACCCTTCGACCCCATGTATCCGGGCCCCATCTAGGAGGCCTCCTGGAATGGGGAAGTTGAGGCATTCAGGGAAAGGAGGAGGAGGAGGAGGAGGAGGAGGAGGAGGAGGAGGAGGGGGAGGAGGAGGAGGAGGAGGAGGAGGAGGGGAGGAGGAGGAGGAGGAGGAGGAGAGCAGGCAGCAGGCCTGCGTCAGCTCTCCTGCGCCCTCTCCGGTCTCGTCTCCGCCCGCGCGCCAGCAACCGTGGCCGTACCCCCTGGCCTCCGTGATCTGCCACGGGGGGCGGTGCATGCTGCGGCTGCAGGGCGTGCAGCCGAAGGAGGCGACGCCTTCTCGGGAAGAGGGGCAGAATGCGGGAGGCACTTCTCCTCCTCTTCTTCTTCCTCCTCGGTCGCACCTCCTCCTCCTCCTCCTCCTCCTCCTCCTCCTCCTCCTCCTCCTCCTCCTCCTCCTCCTCCTCCTCCTCCTCCTCCTCCTCCTCCTCCTCCTCCTCCTCCTCCTCCTCCTCCTCCTCCTCCTCCTCCTCCTCCTCCTCCTCCGCCTCCTCACCCTCCTTCTCCCCGAAGGGATGCGCACTGCTTGCGCGCTTCGGGGCCACGTCGCATCGCACCTGGGGGCTCGGTTCCGAGTGCGGGGTAGTTGCGCTTCTCCTCGGGAGCACGTCCCGACTGTCTCTTTCGGTGGGCAAATCGAAGAATCATGTCCAACTCCTCCTCCTCCTCCTCCTCCTCTTCCTCCTCCTCCTCCTTGGTGCCCTCCTGCTCGCTCCTCCTCATCGGCCCTCCCTCCTCTCCCCTCCTCGGTGCCTTCCTTCTCGATCCTCCTCCTCCACCCCGAACCTCCTCCTCCTCGATCCTCCTTCTCCTCCTCGATCCTCCTCCTATCCTGGATCCTCTTCCTCGGCACCTCCCTCCCCACGGTTGGCTGCCGCCGCCCACCGGGCTTCGCCGGCCGGCCGCGCGGCGCTCGGCGGTGGGCCCGTGGTCACCTCCTGCCCTTAAGTCGGGCCTGTCCCCTTGCAGGGGGATTTTCGACGACAGTTAAAAAAAATACACCAAACATAATAAAAAGGTAAAGAATACTCCAAAAATAGTCCCCAGACTATTTCTGGACTATTTGTTTGATATTTTTGGTGTATTTTTTCTTTTTCGTCGAAAATTCCCCTGTAGGGGGAGAGGCCCGACTTAAGACTAGGATTGAATCTGTTCAGACTATGTTTAGTGTTTCGTCCAAACTCCGCCTGTAGGAAAGCATGCCCGACCTAACAGCAGGCGCCAGGACGGTCGCGGGTCACAGGCTAGGTTTCGGCAGAGTTTATGTGAGCGATGCAACAAACGGGGTCGTCTGCGCCGACATTGGCGCGTAAGCTGCCCACGTAAGGTCGCGCGTAAGCGCCCTCGCTTCAGATGTGGCTCGCCGCGCCGGCAGCCCGCGTAAGCCACCGCGTAAGGTCGCTACGTCACCTCGCGTAAGACTCGTTTTTCATCGTCGCCCATGTGTTTTTATCTTCTGGCGCGTGACAATCGTTGCCCGGCCCAAGCCCGCCCCACCCTGGGATAACGATAACGATCGTATGTGTGGGGGGTGGGGGGGGGGCCTGAAGTCCCCCCCGAAACATGGTGGTGTTCGCGCGCAACTTTTTGCGATCGCAACCCACCCCCGCCCCAGCGTGTCCCACCCCGCCCAAGCGTTGCCGTCACCCGGGCCCCCCTCCCATCCAGGTAACGACCGCTACGGATCGGAAGTGATACAAGAGAACACCCTCACGTTGGTCCCAAGCAGGTGTCCAGCAGGAGGAGGGGGCGGGGAGGTGGAGGCCCAGGCAAGGTCCGGGTTGCGGTGGGGCGTTGCTTTCCTTTGCCGTCGCGGAGTTCGGCCTGATCGGGGGTAGAGATCGGGGGCGGGTCGACAGACCACCGCGCCGCCTGCAGGTGGAGGTGGTGGAGGGAGGGGGGAGAGGAGGAAGCGTGAAGAGGACAGCCGCGGGTCCCAAAGCATGCGTCGAGCAGGAGGAGGACGAGGCGAGACGAGACCATGGGCAGACTCAGATCCCCACATGGCAAAAGCCCCCCACCTAAGCAGCAGGCCGACCGCGACAAAATATGATCCAAACTGGCAAGATGCGACTTCACGATCTGTCTATATATATATATATATACATACACATATATATATATATATATATATAGTTAAAAAATACGCCGGGCCCCCTCCCGGGGCATCCTCCACCTCGCTCACATCCGATGTGCGCTCCAGGTACCGCGCTTCTCGGCCTCCCGGGGAGCCCCCACAATGCCCAGAGACAGTCCAAGACGACCCCAAGAAGCCCCCACAACGTAACAGAATTGCCCAAGACGCTCCGAAGCAACCCAGGATAGTTTTCGGGCGGCTCTCCAGGCTCCCAGCAGGCCTCCAAGGGACCTCAAGAGAGCTCCGAGAGGCCTCCCAAGAGCGCCGCCCAGAACACCCAACATTGTTGATTTTATTGGTTTTTGTTGCAGGGTTTTTGGCCTTCTCATCATTTCATGTCCCCAACGCTCCAAGAGAGCCGAAGAGGCCCCCAAGACCGCCCCAGAGGCCCCCAAGACAGCCCCAACACGGGCCAAGACGGTCCCAACACTGCCGAAGAGGCGCCTTGGACAGCTCCAGACCACTCAAGAAAAGGCCCCATATGATCCCAAGAGCGGGAGCAGGAGGCCGCCAGAGACCTCCGAGAGGACTGCGGGACCCCCTAGAGGCCTCCAACACACCCCAGACCCTTGAGAGGCCCCCAGAAAAGCGCCGACGAGGCCCCCAAAACAGCCCAAGAGAGCTTCGAGAGCCGTCCCGAGAGAGCCCGAAGAGGGTTAACACGTTGATTTTCAGTGGTTTGTGTCGACTGTGTCCGCCTTCTCACGTTTTGCGGCTTCCAACGCTCCAAGACCGAGGACTTTGAAACAAAAGAGAGGGAGTTTCAGAGATCCCCTTTCTTCTTCTCAAATCCAACAAATGCGCGCCCGCGCGCCCCCTCCTCCCAGGGGTCCCACACCTTCCCGGAACATCTGCGGAACGCTCCCGGTACCGCGTGTCCCGACCTCCCGGGGAGCCCCAAAAACGCCCAAGACGCTTTTCGACGCCTTTCGCCTTCTCACGTTTTCCCGCTTCCAATGCTCCAAGACCGAGGAATTTTGAAAAAAAGAGGAATTCCAGAGATTCCTTCTTTTTTCAAGTTGAGACTCCTAATTACTCCCCATCCGCTTCCTCGAGCCCTATCAAGACTTCGGGGCCACATGCAAACATGTTTCGGGAATGCTGTTGAACTCTCTGACGCTGTCTTGGCACTCTCTTTGATCGTCTTCGTGTCCTCTTGGCTACCCCTGAAACCATGGTAGTTGAAGCAGTGGAATTTTAGAATTCCTTACAAAAAGTCACCTCCTGCTGATTTAATCGCTTCGCTCATTCCGCCGGCCCTGGAGCCCTCGTTAAGGCCTCTTCGGGACCTCTTGGGAGTCTCTTGGGGCTCCTTGGCGGCGTCTTGGGGGACCCCAGGGCCTCTTGGGGGGCTCTTGGGGGCCTCTTGGGACGGGAGGAGGGGTAGTCGATTGCGGCTCCCCCATCGGAGGCCACGATCCTCGTGAGGGGTGTTGAAAGATTGCCCGGTCCGGCATCTCTGACCCGGGTCTGCCAGGACCCTGCCGGGGTACTTCTCGCCCGGAGACCCCCAGGGGCGGCTCCGCGCGCGCGAACTAGAATATTGTTAACCAGTTACCGGAGATCTTAGCACGCCTCTGGCCCGTTGGGCCGGCGAATTTTTTGCACGAAGACCCCGAGAGGCATCCCAACAGACCGTGGCCTGCATCCAGAAAACCGTCTAACCCACAGCCCAGGCATTGCAACTGGAAAAAAAGGGAAGTCCCACCGCTCCGCTTTTTTTTTTCTCAAGTTTGTCCCCCCTGTCCACTCTTTGCACAACAGGCCACAGTGAAGGCCCCAGAAATGAACGCATGAAGCCTTCGAGGGCCCCAAATCGTTGGATACCGAGCGGCCATTGATGATTTCTGCGTTTCCGCAGTTCCCCCTCCATACGATTCCGAGGCTTGCGCAGGGCCTCCAAGAGAGTCCCTGGATGCAAGAAACGACAGGGATGATAACCACGAACGGGCGATAGTAATGTATCCCCCCTTAACCCTCTCTATTTTTTATCCCCGCCCACAGGCATCTATATGTGGGGGAGGCGCAGGGGCCGCACTTGATAATCACCTGGAAAGTTACGGGGATCGAAGTTGCTATCATATCATGTTGATTAGCAGCTGCATCAAAAAACGCTGAGCATGGCCGTGATGGTCTCGCCACACCAACTTCCGCAATCACGAGCGTGTGGCAGGGCTGTGGGGTTCTCACCAGTTCAGTTTGCCCACGTTACGACCGTGCGGCAGGGCCATGGGATGCACTACAAACATCATCGTCACCACCATCATCATATCATTACCATGTTCAACCTCCTCCTCCATCATCGTCACCATCATCTTCATCATCATCATAATTTACCTTCCCTGGGAAATCCTTTTTCAATTATCCCCGCGGGAACCGCGAACTTTATTATCCCAGGGGGGTTTAGTATCGCGCCTTCAGGGTTGCACCATGTGTTCGCACATCAATAGCTAGAACTTGAGCGCGCGCGAAGCGCAGGCGATGGTTTTAGTACATACTGGTATTTACGTACACATAATTATACATGTTCAGAGCTCACTTGCAGCAGCACATGTGCCTTCGGCGCCAAAGGTTTACTTCAGCGATAGCCAGCCACACGATAACAAGTGTGACGTCGACCTTAACGCAGGCCCCTCTTCCACATTCCACACAAAAGAATGTTTCGCGATGCGTGTATACTTTATCCAGGGGAATGACGATTGACGCATGGGCTCAGCGGACGCCTTAACACCTGCTTGCGGTACAGAGCCGGGCACCATCATCACACGCCAACCCAAGCGTTTTGACCCCATCACTATGTGTGACATTGTCCCATCAGCTCCCACCATTGACGGAAACCCTGGGCGCGGGTGGGGGATTACATGGGAAAGCCCGCCTGGGCCGCATGCTCTGCGACCTGAGGTGGACGCCGCCGATGAAGCACACGATTGAAACAAAACAATTAGAAACGAGCGAAAACCGAGAGTGAGTAAGAATGTCCAGCAAATGCGACGACTTGCAACCAGACAGACAAAAACCCACCCCAGAAACACATGGTGCAAGGCCCCGTCAAAGACACATCCACGTTATCCTGCACATGACCTTGTGATTTCTCATGTGCGTTCGTCTTTGCTAAAGCGATCCGATTAACGTGGAGCGAGCTCACGAACAAATTCTCTCCATATCCCACGCGGATGCACAGGGGAAGGCCGGGTGGCGACCAGAAACCGAACGGGCTATGGAGTGCTTCGAGCCGCGTACTTTCGGGCGACGAAATCTATACATGTCCACTGCTCCCTGACCATGCCCATCTTGAACCCAGGAGCTGTGTATGCGCCCTCCTGGCCAAGCCAGGAGGGCGTGGCGTATACACCGCTGCGGGGTTGAGGATGGGCCTGGCCTGGGAGCAGTGGATATGTATAGATTTCGTCGCCCTATACTTGAGAACATGAGACAGGGAAGAAGAAAAGGAGGATGAGGAGGCCGGATGAAGAGGAGAGACGGCGGCGGAAGCGGATGAGAGATGGCACGCCTGCAGGGGAAGCTGTGGCAGGCACCGCCCCCGATCAAACAGCGCGGCCGGCTCCTGCTCGACCCGTGCTCCTTGCGAGCCCTGCACGCTCTGTGCTTCGTCTTGCTCTCACCATGCACTTCGCAGATCCCGTACGTCACCACCCACCAAACCACCCCAACCCAACCCGAAGCCCTCCATTTGCCTTCCGTTTCCAGTGGGGGGGGGGTCGGGGAACGTTGGAAGAACACATGGTATCCGTACACCCCCCTCCCCGAAGTTCGGGTCAGATTCGGGTCTTCGGGTTGGGTTGGGGTGGTCTGGTAGGTGGTCAGTACGCCTGCTGGCGGATGCCTGGGGTCGGCGTGCCCTCTTGCTCGGCGGACCAGAGGCTACCGGCAGGGGGGGACCGGCTCGGGTGTTGTGAGCATCGGCTCCCGGCCGCCCACTCGTCGCGACTCGGGGCCTCGGCATCTCGACCTGCCCAGTCATGTGCGTTCCTGTTCTCGAAGAATTGCCGCCAGCTTGGCGGCGACGCATCGCGGATTCCAAGTCCATGTTCCCCCCCACTTTGAGCCGGCCACCCTTTTGATCGTTTCTTTCAGATGACGACCAGCTTGGCAGGATCGTTGGAAGGCTTCTTCGTTGAGTGCATGATCCTGCTTCGGTGTGAGTGTCTTCCTGCTTCGAGGCTCGTACGGTCCTCCTGAGTTCTCACATTTTCCGGTGCGTGTCGAAGCCTGGTTTGCCTTCAATGCGTGGTTGGTTCATGTTGTTCATAATCGTTTTTCCGGTTGGCGTCTGTAGGAGATCGGCGTTTTTGGATGATGTGATTGTTATGCCGTTTTGGGTTTTTGGATGCATGGGCCGCATTCGTGATGGGCGGGAAGTTACACATGTTGATGCGTTATGTTTTGCGTATTGCCACGACAAGAGTCGCACGTGCCTAAAACAGGATATATTTCCCGAGGCCCTTCGGGCTCGGGGTGTTTAGCAGATATTTTCTGAATGTCATATGGGGGGTTGTTGGGCCCGTCTGATCCATGGTCGTAGCCTATACCCTGCGCAAATGCATGCTGGATGTCCCCCTCGTCAGAGAAGTTGGGATCATGGCAGTCTCCCGCCGATGCTTAGGTGTGAGGTTCGATTTGTATGTGGGCATGTGCCCGTGTCAAGTAGAGGCGATCACGCGTTTCAGAGTTCCTTTTGGCCGGATTTGGGACGGTTGGGAGATCCGCCGCTGTGTCCATTGGCCCTCCTCCGAAGCGTGTTCGCTCACACGCCGCCCGAGCTGCTCGGGACTGCAGGCGGCAGTGCATCCTGTGGTGCAGGCGGCAAGCCAGCTCTGTTGCACGGGCGCCAGGCTTGGGCCCATCCGCGTTCTCTTCGCTCCGCCGCAAAGTCCGTCCCTCATTTCAGAGGCAGCGCCTGGGGGGACGTGCTCAGGAATGATGTATCGACCCCAATCGCCTATTGATCGCCGACCGTTAGCCCACCCCGCCCAGGAGCGTGTGCATTCGCTATCGGGGGCGTATCGCGTATGCATCGGCGATGTTTCGCTGATTTCAGGTCGATGTTGTTCGCCAGCCCCCCACACCGAACCTCACCCCTCATCATGTCGGCGTGTGCGATTTCCTTTCGACCCCCAGGTGATAAATTGGCTGATGCTCGGAGACAAGGAAGCCCCGCCTCCGTGCCTTGATCCTCTCGCTCGTGTATCTTCCACTGGCAGGCCAGCGAGAGAGTCGATCGCTATTGAAAGCTGGACCGCATCAGAAGTGATGTCGACGAGGAGCATTGCCTCGTGGCACTGATACGCATCGGAGGCCACGTGTCCGTGCAGCCAGAGGGCGCCATGTATGCGGGGCGTCCTGAGGGAAAAGGGTCCACGGTACCTGGGGACCTTGCCCGGGACAACCCTATTCGTCTCGAATCGTTCTATGTTATTTTTGTTGTTTAGATCTTTTGCGCAGGTGTTGGGGCAATGCGTCCATACCCCTAGCATGCTGCGTGCACATCGTCAGCAGTCAGTTCGGATCAGAAGAGTCCCGTTGGGGACGAAACGTTCAGTAGCCCGGTACGACAGCAACGTTTCATGAACGGGGTGCGATCGTCTTGTTTGACCGTCTGATTTAGACAAGGGACCTTTGTCCTTCCATGCCTACCAAATGGGTGAGAGTAGATGGGAGCGGAGCATCGCGACGCATCACCGACACATCTGCGATGCGGCCCGATTTTAAGTCCAAAGTTCTCCACGCCGACGGCGCCGATGCGTCGGCGGTGCGGCGCGACCCCCCGAACGGCATTTATTGGGATCCCATCGAGGAGGCCTCCATTTTCTCCAGGGGTCCGTGTCCTTCACGCCGACAAGGGCAGCTCCACTGCTCTTTCGAAGAGAGAGCGACATGAACAGCGGTCGTTGAAAGTGGGTGTTTTTGGATTCCCAGGTTCCAATCTACTTTAGGTGCCTTCCTACTTCCACGATCGAGTGACTTCACCTTTTTCCGTCCTCCTCGGGGGGCGGACGGAATCCAATCTGCTTTCAACGCCTTCAGACTTCCTGTTTCTGCCTGCATCTTCTCCCACCATCCCAAGCCCTGGGCCCTCATGCCGACAGATGCAGCGTGCGAGGGCGGGGATGGGGCGACCAGCCGGCTCTCGGGCCCGGGGCCTGGAGGAGCGACGGCGCGCTGGGCGGGGAGGATGTATGTTGGGGGCAGCTCGGGCAGCGCGGGGCGGGGGGCTGCCCCGGGAGCGAGGGGCCGATGTTCCACCACCACCTTCGGTAGCAAGTCATGGGAGCCTGGTTTACCCTTTCAATACCGTCTTTAGCGTCGGCTAGCGTCGATTAGCGTCTGGGTGTCGATGAGAGAACGCCGATTTAGCGTCAGTTAGCGTCGGTTAGCGTCGATTTAGCGTCGATTAGCGTCGACTAGAGTCGATTAGCGTCGATTCGCAAGAGCCGACAAGATGGCATGGGAGGCTCCCATGAGTTGCTACCGAAACCACCACCACCACCACCATACTACCATAGGTCCGAGAAGGCGGGGGAGGAGGAGGAGGCTCGAGGAGGAGGACCTCCTCATCCTCCCTTCTCCCCCGTCCTGCCAATGGTGCAGCGGTAAAGGAAAATTGGCCCATCAGGGAGGGGGGGGCGCGGGGGGGGGGGGGGAGAAACGGGTCGGCGGGGGTGGGGTGGGGGGCGAGGTGTGGGACAGGAGGTGAGGGCGCCAGAGGAGAAGCGAGGGCCAGAGGAGGGCCAGTTGAGGCAACGGTATAGCTGGCCTTCGGGGGAAGCTCTTGTCGCCACGTCCAGACGCAGCTGCGACTGCGGCTCGGAAAAAGCGGGCGCCTTGGGACCACTGGCCGACTTTGAGCTGCCGTTGGCTCAGCTCGCCCTGCTCTGAGAGGGCGAGAATGGTCGACCAAAAAAACATACAAACGACACCACCACTTTCGGCCCTCCATGTTGCGCTACGGCACATCGGGCGCCGCAGCGTATACCACGCAGAAACACAAGACGAAACTCAAAGTATTGTAGGCCAGTGCCCGTGGTGCCGTGCGTGGGCTGGTGTGTTTTTTCTGGTCCAAATGGGTGGAGGTGAGGAAGCGAACGCGAGGAGGGCCGGGGGACGCGGTGAGGGCGTTGGATAAAGGATAAAAGGATGCAGACAAGCAGAACGAGGTGACGGGCAAGAAAAAAGGGGGAGGAGGAGGAGGAGGAGGAGGAGGAGGAGGAGGAGGAGGAGGAGGAGGAGGAAGAGGTACCATACCGCTACTCTTCCTGCGTTTTCGGCATCTCGGGCCTCCTTGGAGGCCCTCGTCGCCCTCGCTGGATTCGCCTCGAAATCCTGGTCAGCACGCAGCCTGGGAGGTCCAGGGAGTAGCGGTATCGGTTCTTTTTGGTTTCCCAGAGGAGGAAGAGGAAGAGGAGGAGGAGGAGGAGGAGGAGGAGGAGGAGGAGGAGGAGGGAGGAGGGAGGAGGGAGGAGGGATGAGGAGGGAGGAGGGGGAGGGGAGGAGGGAGGAGGGAGAGGAGGGAGGAGGGAGGAGGGAGGTGGGAGGAGGAGGAGGAGGAGGAGGAGGAGAGGAGGAGGAGAAGGAGGAGGAGGCGGAGGAGGAGGAGGAGAAGAAGGCGTTGGATGAGGGCTGAAAACGGGATGTACGCGGGAGGAGGAGCAGGCGGGAGAGCGGGAAATGTGAGGAGCAGGGGCGGGGGGGCGGGGGCGCGGCGAACGGGGGAAGAGGGGGCACGGGAAGGTTGAGGGAGGCACGGGGAAGCTGGAAACATACTTGCGGGTTGGGCCGGGTGGTGTTCACTGCTCGAAGTTTCGGGATGTTTTCCTGTCGTCGGGCCATGCCCGACGTGAAACATGGTGCAGCAATTTTTCTAACGCATCAGCCCCTTGTGTTTTATTTCCAGGGCCTTGCGCGCGTCTGGTTATACGTGCTCCAACTACTCTGTCTGGTGTGCTTCCCACCCGTAGGGGCTCTAGTTTCCCATAGCAGGTGGACGTGTAGATCCGCTATAGGCCAACCCTGGAGGCCTCGCGCGGCGCACAACAGTTGTTCGTTCTAGTCCACACTTCGCCCCGCCAGATGTGGAGCGACGTTCGGTCGGGGAAACGTAAGACTCGAGTAAGCCGGAACTCAGCTTTGCCGATTTTTTGTTGACGAGCGCGTCTTGGAGTTTGACGGTCCCGTTCTCGTGGGACGTCTGCAGCGGAAGCCCGCGTCAAATTTCAGATTGGGTATCGTCATTTTTATCATGGCCCCCGTGGGGCCAACCCGAGTCCCCCGTACCCGAGTCTTACGCCTCCCCGATTCAGGTGGCGATTTGGTGACGCCAATCCGACGTGGGTCCGAAGTATACAGTGTCTCAAGTGACCGCGCGAGGCCTCCAGGATTTTCCTCTTCAGATGCGAGGGAGCGGCTGCACGGGCCGCGGGCAGGACGGCAACAACTGGGAGCGCACTGGTGTTCCACCAGGCTGCCTGCGCGCATCTCTGTTACCTCTCGAAGAAGAAAACATAAACATAAACTTGTGGCGCTCCGCGCGGAGCGCCAAACGTTTATGTGTATGTGGTTGTTTCTTCTTACCTCATCTTCACCATCTACTCCTCGCGTTTTCTCCATCGCCATTCATCATCAACGTCGTTTGCATCATCATCATCATCACGACCACCACCATCATCATCATCATCCTCATCATCATCACCGTCTTCCAGAGTAAGGTTATCGGCGCTACTGCTTCTGGATGTGAGGCGAGAGTGCTCAGGCGGGACCAGGAACAGGAGCTCGACTTCGTGGCCGTTCGTTACGCGAGTTCTCGGTGCAAGGGCATTGCGATACACCGACAGTTGAACGATGAGGGAGAGGAAGAGCGTATGAAGGTCACGACCATATGGGCGGAAGTTGTTTGGAAGGAAATTCCAGTCGTCCCTCGAGTGTCGAATTCGTCGTTCGAGGCCTGCGACACTACCGAGCTCTCGCTCGCCGCCCCCATCAGCACGTTCAGGAGCTCGCGGCTGTCTGTGGAAAGGCTACGTTTGAGAATGTGGCGCCACAGCAGTTCTCCCGGGCTCCAGCGTGTTCCCCTGCGGCCACCCCGAAAGATCGCACCGACCCATGTGCCCTGCAGTTCAAGTTTGATATGTTCTATTTGCGTAAGCTCGAGAGGGGCTCCGATGTCCTTCATGATATAGTTTGCGACTTCCTGGTGGTCTTCATGGCCCCCGAGTTGCGCAGGTTTTTGAAAGTCTCTGTGAAACGACTCAGAAAGCTCTGGCCCGAGGCCCCGACGATGGCCCCCACAAGGCGGTATGAGGTCCAGGAGTGTTTCGAGGGAGGACATTCGTGTACCTTACTCAACGGCGAGGGTCTGGAGTGTGGCAAGAGGTGTCGCACGATACATGCACTGCGCGCGCATCAGACACACAGTGGAGGGGGGAAGCACAGGCAACTCAACACGTTTACCAAGGGCACGGTGACAAATCAGTGCCTGTCGTGCGCATCCACATTGGACTGTCGTCGCACAGCCATCAACCGTATCACCGCAGCATATAGCCATGGGAGGGGCATTTCCAATACGTCGACGCGAATTGCCCCTGTGGTGCATCCGCAGCAGGCTGCTTGCCCAGAGACAGAGTGCGCAGTGGAGTTCGCGGACCCTTTTTCCCACCACAGCAGCACCTCGCAGAGTCCCATCTCCCGCTATGTCGTCCGCGCGTCGTGGCCGCAGGCGCTCCCAGAGATGGTGCCGAGCCATCACGCAAGAAGGCCGTGGGGGGGAACCAACGGAGGAGCAGTTTCACCGGGCAGCCGGGCAACAGACGGACAGAGGAAATAGGACCCCAAGATTTTGGACACGACCGAGTTGGACGGCGATCTGATAGCGGTCCAGACCATGCAGCTGTACCCCCCCGTCATGGCGCAGCTCATCCCCAACATCAGCGCTGGGACAGAGGCAAGTCGAGCCAATCGAGCTGAAGACTCTCTGATGCCGTCGGGCATGCAGGCGGCGGTGAAGGCGAAGGGTCGCACCAAGGCGTGGGTCCGCGCAGCCGAGTCGCACAGGTCGAGTCGACCCAAGGCCGAGACATAGCAGAATCTCAAGGAGAAGGGCACCATCTCAGTGGGGTAATACGCGGGGCGCTGGGGGGTCTGATCGCGGAGTGCAACGCGGTGGGACGAGCCAGCCAGCAGCATTTCGAAGATTTGGGCAATGCTCAGGGCGCCCTCGCGATCTACTGGCTGGGAAAGGTCGCGTCTCTAGCCACTATGATGGTCTGTCACAAGGAGGGCGAGGTGAAGCTCGTGCAGTCTTTCATCTCGAGTCTCAACATGGCTCCAGCACTTGCGGCTCTCATCCAGGTGGGGGCAGATTACAATCAAGGAGCGGCCCCGATGGTCCACATGGAGCGTCTGATCCACACGGGGTTGCGCGATCTCGAGAGTTTCACACAAGACTGAAGCGGCCCCAGATGTGAGAAAGGAAAGGAGCGAGGAGCGATCGGCTCGTGCAGAGCCTGGGCCGCGCAGCCAGCAGGCCGATCCCTGACACCCCTGCGTCTGCCCCCCCTCGGGCCTCCTTCCTCCTGTCAGAGCGTGAATTACCTACCCCGCTTTCGCTTCCAGGCAAATCCAAACCATACCACGCGCCTCCTCGTCAAGCGGCCTGACCAGTACAGGCTGCAATTTGGCATCGTTTGGTATCTCTTGGAAGCGAGGGTGGTCAAAAGCGAGGTAGGTTTGTTTTCCCCTTATCCTGGCCCTCTCTCGCCCTTCGCTCCCAGTGCAGAGCCGGGCAGAGAGAGGCCAGGTGCAGCCTCCTCACGCAGGGCATCCGAGGCTTTTGCCACTCGCCGCCCCCGCGCCTGGTGGAGGCGAGCCGGTCCGCCTCGGGGGGCCGGGTGTCAGGAGGAAGAGAAACACACAGACATAATGAATCGTCGATCCCCAGAAAATGTAGGAAAATATGGGAAATGGGGGGGGAGACAGAGACCCAGAACAGATGGGAAAATATAGGGGAGTAGTTTTATTTGTGCCTACTTGTTTGTGTGTCCCAGTTCCCCTTCCAGGTGGGGGAGGGCGGGCCCCGAGCGGCAGGTGACCAGGGGGTGGGCCCCGCGAGTCGCGGGAGCCGCTGACAAGCAGCCGGCATGCCGACGCTCGCTCCCCCGTCTTCTTTTCCTCTCGCGTCGAGCTCTGTCTCTCTCTTTCTGCTGCCCCCCCCCCGCCCCCTTTCTTCGGGGGAAAATAAACCTACCTCGCTTTCGACCACCCTCGCTTCCAAGAGATACCAAACAATGCCAAATTGCGGCCTGTACTGGTCATGCCGCTTGACGAGGAGGCGCGTGGTATGGCTTGGTTTTGCCTGGAAGCGAAAGCGGGGGAGGTAATTCACGCTCTGAGAAGCAGGAAGGCGCCAAAAGTAGATTGGGACTTGCGGATGCAGAGATTTCTCCTGTCAACGACCAGCGGGAATCCATATCCAGGGCATCTCGGAATTTCGGGCTCACGTCCCCAGACAACCCAGCTCGGCCTGTGTGCATATCCACTGCGCTTCGGCCTTTTGGCGCCCCTTCCCAGAGAGTCCAAGACGCTCCGATTTCTGGCAAGCAGAGCCGTCACTCCTGTGGCCCGCGAGGGGCCAGGTGAGGTGGAACGAGGGCCCCCGTGCCCGTGCGAGCGCGAGCGCTGGCACGGCGGTGAGCAGGAGCTGCTGGCCCTGGGGAGGGCGCGCTTCCCGCCCCGCCCACCTCGTATTCCTCCTTCTCCTCCTCCTCCTCCTCCTCCTCCTCCTCCTCCTCGTATTCCTCCTCCTCCTCCTCCCTCCTCCCTCCTCCTTCTCCTTCTCCTCCCCGCGAGCCTCCCCTCACCTCGTCTCCTCTCGGGAAGCAGTCCGAGCTGCTGAGCCGGGATGTCTCGAGGGGCCACGCGGAGGGCGGAGCGCCCCGCGGCCGTGGCGGGAGGAGTCCTGGCAGTGCGGACCGCAATCGCGCGAAGTGTTCGAAAGTTTCGGCGGGCACAGAGTTGATTCACGTCTCCGCGGGGTCCACTGTTTCATTCGTGATCAGGAGAGGCCGCGTGCAGGGGGGAGGGTGGGGCCCCACCGTCTTCTCGAGGTTTTCTGCACAGTGGACGGGGTGCCGACAGAGGTGCCGCTGCTCTCCGTTTTTTTTGGATGCACCGCGACAGCGAAAAACCTGGGCGTTGTCGTGAGTCGCGGGGGCGCTTGGCCACACATCGCAAATGGACGCTCGGATGCCGCCCGGTTCACGGGGCCTCGCTGGATGGGATATTCAGCTGGCCCCCCCAGGGGTTGTTGATCGGATCATCATCCGCAGCGTCATCACCATCACCATCATCATCATCGTCATTCTCATCACCTCATCCTTATCACCAGCCTTACTATCACCATCATCACTCATCACCTTTTTCTTCATCATCATCATCATCATCATCATCATCATCATCATCATCATCATCATCATCATCATCATCATCATCATCGGCAACATCACCATCATTATTACCACCCATGTTCCTCCATCTGCGTCATCCTCCGTGGTCTCGCGTTTCTTTCTTGCTTCGCAGTTCACAGCCGCTTTCATTGACCGCGTGAGGGTGGTAATGGAGGACGCGGCGGGGCGTTCCCTCTTGGACTGCTGCGGGGGGGGGTCGCATCCTGTTCCCTCTCGCCGTTTTTGTGTGTCCTTCTTGCTTGTCGTTCGTCAGGCGTCCGTCGTTTTCGTCGTCGCGTCGTGTCGTCCCCCTGCACTCTGCCACCGGGCTCGCAGTCGCTGGTAAAAAAAGTGTGTCCTTCTTGCTCGCCCCTCTCTATCCTTCTTCAATTCCCCTCCCCTTCTCCCTTCCGTGTTTCCCTCATGTCACCCGTCTCCGCAGCACGGAGCCGCGGAATTGGTGCGCGGAAATGGGGGGGCGTTTGTCCTCTTCCTGTGCTTTCTCCTCCTCATCGTCCTCCTCATCCTCTTGCTCCTCGTGCGCCTTTGTCTTGATCCTGCTCCTCCCGCTCCTCGTCTTCTTCGGCCTTGGTCCTCCTCCTCATCATCCTCCTCGTCCTCATCATCATCATTCATCTATCCCCTCCTTCTCCTCATCCTCAGTCTTGATCCTCCTCGTTCCCCCGGAGTTCCGTCCGTCCTCAGTCTTGATCCTCCTCGTCCTCCCGTTCTCTTGTTCTTCTCGGAGTGGCAAGCGACGACGCTGACAGTGGCGATGACGTCCGACGACGACGAGGCGAAGGAGGAAGGGAAAAACTAGGGAATTTGGGTTGGTAGGTTCCAAAGGGAAAGGGGGGAGATGGGGGGTTGGGAAGGAGGGCTCAATGTCTTTCTGCCCTTCGGAGGCCTCAGGAGGTCTCCAGAGACCTTTGGACTGGGTACCTTCGGTGACTTCCAGCCCCCTCGAAGACCTTGAGGCGGGGAGGTGGGTGGGGTCCAAGCCAGGGCAAGGACGAAGTGGTGGACGCGGTGGCGGCACATGTGCACCCGGGCCTGGGAGCATTCGGAACCGCGGCTCTGGGCGAGATGCGCAAGGTTCCGCGGATGGATGTCCAGGTCGGCATCGTGCGGCGTGGTTGCGTTGCCTCTGAAGTTGCTGTCGTTGATGGGCGTTCAAAATTCAATTCCGCATGGTAAAACGACACGGAAGCTCTGAGGGGCACGGGAAAGCCACAGGACCCGACGCAATTCAGCATTGATCGATCGGGGCCGTGATCGGTATGTACAAGGTTTCATGGTTGATGCGGTGTCAAAGACCTTTGCGCGTGCCGTCGCCGCGCGAATGCCCCGTTTATGAGGAAAGTCCTGGAGGCCTCGCGCGGCGCGTAATAGTAGTATGATCTAGTCCACTTGTCAGTTCCGTAAGCTATGGGTGGACGCTCGCGCGGCGATGCTCAGGAGTCAGTCCGACGTAAATCCGACGTAAATCCGACGTAGTCCGACGTGAACCCGACGTAAATCCGACGTAGATCCGACGTAAACCAGGTCTCAAGTTTCCACGCGAGGCCTCCAGGATTTTCTTCATAACCCCGTATACCTGCCCACTTCCGTATCTCTGTCATCCCGCTGCGCTCTCACTGGCTTCCTGCCCTCGCCCCCCTCCTCTGCTGCTGCCCAGTGCCCACGGCGCTGCAAAAGAGCACCCGCAGGCCCGATGTACACTCGGCTGGCGGCCTCCCATAGCGTCAAGGCGCCGCGAGCCCGCGGGGGGGTGGAGCCGCACGACTGAGTGGGACTGTTCGGCGGCGAGCCCAAGGGGGGGGAGGCGAGAAGGGGCGTGCCTCCTCGGAGGGTCCGGAAGGCCTCGGGCATTCCGAGGGGGGTGGAGCCGCACGACAGAGTTGGGACTGTTCGGCGGCGAGCCCAGGGGGGAAGTGAGATCAAGCAGCGGCGAAGCGCCCTGGCTCGCCTATTAGCCCCACCAAGCAGTGTTCCAAGAACCTTTTTTGTGGCTCCCACGAAATATGTTCTCAGAGCATGTCTGGCGAAATATGGTCTCAGAGCATGTCTGTTCTAAGAACAAAAGCGATGTTCTAAGACCATTGCTTTTGTTCTTAGAACATTGCTTTTGTTCTTAGAACATTTCGTGGTATGACTATAGGAATGCCGGGTCGGTCGGTCCCTGCTCAATGAGAAGGGGCGCGCCTCCTCGGAGGGTCCGGAAGGCCTCGGGCATTCCGAGAGGTCGTCCGAGCCTGCCCCGAGATGCACATGGTTTCTCGGAAGGGGCAGGGGCTTCTGAGAAGCCCCATCGCTCTCGGGTGGCTGGCGCAATGGACCGAAGCCCGGGGGGGAGTTCGTTGGGAGAAGTGCCCAAACCAAAAACCGTAACACATTGTTGACGCTTCGCGAATCCCCACCAGCCCATCCCGAAACGATGCCCAGAGGAATTGCCTCGATCAGGGAAGTGGGCAGCACACCGAGGAAGTCATTATGAGACATCTTGGGATATCTTGAACCATCTTGGAGGTCATTTTGGGCTCTCCCAGGCGCTCTTGATCTCAATCAGTGCCCCCCCCAAGAGGCCAACATATGGCTAAAACCTTTGTACAATCAATGGTTTGGCATTCTCGCCGAGGCCTCTTGGGGCATCTTGGGTGCCTCTGGGGGGTGGGTCTCTTGGGGCTTATTGGGGGTCTCTTGGGGGCCTCCTGAGGGCTTCTTGGGGGCCTCTTGGGGCCATCTTGGTGCCATCTTGGGACCTCTGTGGGCCTCCTGGGCGCTTCTTGGGGCCATCTTGGAGGAGATCGATCACAGGAGGGGGGGTGTTCAATTAGCGTCCCCCCCCAAGAGGCCAAAATGGGGCCAGAGCACTAGTACAACCAATGATTTGGGCTTCCTCGCCGAGGCCGTTTTGGCATTCTCGCAGAGGCCTCTTGGAGCACCTTGGGTGCCTCTGGGGGGTCTCTTTGTGCCTCTTGGGGGTCTCTTGGGGGCATCCTGGGGGCTTCTTGGGGGCCTCTTGGGGCCATCTTGGGACCTCCTGGGGCCTCCTGGGCACTTCTTGGGGCCATCTTGGAGGAGATCGATCAAACAAGAGGGGAGCATTAAACAGGCCCCCCCAAAGAGGCCAACATGGGGCCAGAACACTAGTACAACCAATGATTTGGGCTTCCTCGCCGAGGCCGTTTTGGCAGTCTCGCAGAGGCCTCTTGGAGCATCTTGGGTGCCTCTGGGGTGTCTCTTGGGGCCTCTTGGGGGTCTCTTGGGAGCCTCCTGGGGGCCACTTGGGGGCCTCTTGGGGCCATCTTGGGGCCATCTTGGGACCTCTTGGGGCCTCCTGGGCGCTTCTTGGGGCCATCTTGGAGGAGATCGATCACAGGAGGGGGGGTGTTCAATTAGCGTCCCCCCCAACAGGCCAAACTTGGGCCAACACCCTAGTAAAACCGATGATGTTGGCTGCCTCGCCGAGGCCGTTGTTGGACGCTTCGACGACTCGCGACCCCCCCCCCGTCCAGGTCCAGGGGAGGGGGTAGTGGGAGGGGTCAAGACACCCCCCCGCCCGCAAGCCGTCTCGCTCACTCTCACCCGCCATCCCAACACATACGTAGCACCCGAGTCTGGCCCGAGCCTCAGCATATTCAGCAGTCGTCTTTGGATGGGTAGCTACTGGGGGCCAATCCGCTGCCGCCGCCTCCGCCGCCGCCGCCGCCGCCGCCGCCGCTGCCGCCGCCGCCGCCGCCGCAGCCGCTGCCGCTACCGCCACCGCCGCCGCCGCCGCCGCCGCCGCAGCCGCCGCAGCCGCCGCAGCCGCCGCCGCAGCCGCCGCAGCCGCCGCAGCCGCCGCCGCCGCCGCCGTCGCAGCCGCCGCCGCAGCCGCCGCCGCCTCCGCCAAGTGTACTCTGAATTGTTTTTTGACAGGGATGGTGGTGGTGGGGGGGCGCATCGGGTTGGCTGCGCATGTTCCGACAGAATTTGGAGGCAGAGTGTGTGTTTGTATTGTTTGTTGCAAGGGATTGTGGGGGGGGTGTTGGCATGGACCTGGGTTGGCCCCCGCCTGGGGGAGGGGGTGTTTGTTAATAGGGAACAGTGATAAACCCCTCCTCGAAGGGGAAGACAGAGGGGTGGAAGAGGAAACTCCCTAAACCACCTACGCCCAAAGGGCTGGTGGGATTCAGCACGCCAGGCACCCTTGTGGCAAGACCACAGGGGGCGGCGGATCGAAGACGCCTACAGGGAATCACCGCCGCCCCCTGCCTTCTAGAATCGCCCATATGGCCGAGCGTTGGGGAAGAGCTCTGCCAAACTATCGGACCATGTGGTCCCCCAACCGTTGCGGAAACCCTTCAGGGAACACTTGCGGATGGCGCGGAAGATCAGGAGGAGGAGGAGGAGGAAGATGAGGAGGAGGAAGATGAGGAGGAGGAGGAGGAGGAGGAGGAGGCGGGAGGAAGAGGAGGGGGCATCTTTGAAGGCTCTGGGGACACTCTTGGGGCCTCCTGGGAGCTTCCTGGGAGCCCCTTGGAGGCATCTTGGAGGCCTCCTCGGGCCTCTTGGGCCGTTCTGGGGCCATCTTGGCGGCCTCTTGGGCGATCTTGGGGCGATCTTTGCGGGCTCTTGGGACGTCTCGGGCCGTTTGTAGGCCGAGAATATGCAAATTCAAACAAATCTTTTAATAACCTAAGGAACGTGAATTTTGCCTCTTCGGGCCCTCCTGGAGGAGCTCAGTGATGCCTCTTGGGCTGTCTTGAAGGCCTCTGGGGGGCCTCTGGGGCCGCCTTGGCCTATCTTGGAGGCGTTTTTGGACGCACTTGCAGGTATGTTGGACCCTCTTGGGCCTTCTTGGAGGCCATCTTGGACCTTCTTGGGCGAACTTGGAAGCCATCTTGCCCTCTGGAGGATTTTTTCCGGACACTGAGGTCGTTTTTGCGGTTTTTGTGGTCGTTTATGTTTCTTTCCGCGTGGCTGGCGGGGCGGGCCGGAGTCCCAGGGGAGAGTTCTCTGGGAAAATGAGCCAACACCAAACCGCAAGGAGCCAGGACGCCAGGCACCCCTGCGATGAATCAACAGGGGGCGGCGGATCGAAGACGCCTCTTGGGCCGTCTTCAGCCGTCGGAAAGCCAAGAAGCAGCGAAATGAAAAATCCTTCAAACACCAAAGGAACATCAATCATTTTGGCCTCTTCGGGCCCTCCTGGAGGACCTCTTGGAAGCCTCTTGGGCCGTCTTGGAGGCGTCTATGGTGCTTCTTGGGCCGTTTCGAGCCATCTTGAGGCCATCTTAGGCCGTCTTGGGTGCATCTTGGGCCGTCTTGGAGGCCATTTTGTCCATCTGAGAGGCCATCTTGAGCCATCTGGAGCGAAGAAGCCGACGAGATCGGCACCCTGGCAGGACGCGCTGGAGCCCCAGGGGGAGTTCTTTTGGAAAAAGAACCAAAACCAAAACCGAAAGGATCTAGCACGCCAGGCACCCCTGCGATGAATCGATAGGGGAAGGCGGATCTGTGGGCCTTCGGCCCATCCCGCCACCGCGCCCTGGTCGTGGACAAGAGGCGACTTGGAGACCTCTGGGCGTCCCCTGGATCCTGGAAGGCGTCTTGGAAGTCTCTTTGGGCCTCGTTTGGGGTTCTCTTGGGCCGCTTGAGGCCTCTTGGTAGACTCGGGAGCTATCTTCGGGGAACTGGCTCGAACCGTCAGTTCGAGTTTCTTCTTCTTGGGCTCATCTTGAGGCCGTCTTGTGAGGCCTCTTTGGCCCTCACGGGGGTCTCGGGGGACGTGTTTGGGCGATCTTGGTGGCCCTTTGTACCGTCTGGGGAGATCTGAAGATTGAAATCCAAGTATGCCGACATCATACAAACACAAATGTTTGTTCAATGATGTTGGGCTCCTGGGCTTGTCCCAATGGCCTCCCAAGCGGCCCTAGCTCTCAGGGGAAGTCATGCGAGCGGCCCCAATAGTGATGCGAGAAGCCCGTGGGCCCACAATAGCACGTACCACATTATATACAGACGCATCTGAAAGGTTCTGGGGACATTCCACTGAGTGTTTGGCAGCACTGTGGCGGGTCTCAGTCGCAGCTGAGATCCCGCGCCCCTCATGACCGTTGCATTCTGACACGCAGTTCCGTGGCATCTTTGCAGCCTGTGCGCGCGTGTTCTCAGTATCCGGGCAGCTTCGTGCCAAAGGTTTGCGAACGGCATGGGGTATCAGTCATTGTGGTACGGACGGCATAAGAGCGACGATGCCTTGCGCAGGCGGAATGAGCGACGATGCCGTGATGTGCTTGCCCGTGCGCTGAAGATGACACGCATTCGCGTGCGTATGCGCGCGCGCGCGTTTGTATGTATGTGTATATGCGTGCCTGTGTGTGTGTGCGTGTGTGCGCGTGCGTGTGTGTGCGTGTACGTGTGCGCGTGCGAGTGCGCGTGCGCGTGCGCGTGCGCGTGCGCGTGCGCGTGCGCGTGCGCGTGCGCGTGCGCGTGCGCGTGCGCGTGCGCGTGCGCGTGCGCGCGCGTGATCGTGCGCATGCGCGTGCTCGGGCGCGGGCGAGGGCGCGGGCGTGCGTGTGTGCGTGCGCGGGCGTGTGTGTGTATATATATATATATATATGTGTGTGTGTGTGTGTTTGTGTGTGTGTGTGTGTGTGTGTGTGTGTGTGTGTGTGTGTGTGTGTGTGTGTGTGTGTGTGTGTGTGTGTGTGTGTGTGTGTGTGTGTGTGTGTGTGTGGTTGTGTGTGTGTGTGTGTGTGTGTGTGTGTGTGTGTGTGTGTGTGTGTGTGTGTGTGTGTGTGTGTGTGTGTGTGTGTGTGTGTGTGTGTGTGTGTGTGGTGTGGGGTCGTGTGTGTGTGTGGTTGTGTGTGTGAATGTAGTGTGTGTGTGTGTGTGTGTTGCGCCCTTACTGCGTAAGTTTTGTGTTATCCTTGCCTTGCACAACAGGCCGCCTAGCACAGTTCACCACTAGCAGGGCCTGTTAGAATTTGACATGCTGGAGCGTGGCCCGTTCTTAGATTCGCGATGGTGCCGTCGCCTTGCCGGAGGAGGAACGGTGTGTGATCGTATGCGCCCTTCGAGGCGATGGACTGCATTGCGTATATACAAATGACGTCGGAGCTGTCCATCATTCACACTTGTGTCAATTCAATCGGCATGCATCCACGAGAGCGTCCTTCGAACACAACGATGTATTCGCAAGATATTTCGAAGTGTGCTTGTGCCGTCGTAGGGGGAGGCCTCTTGAGGGGTTCTTTGAGCCTCTTGGGGGCTTCTTGGAAGCCTTTTTGGCTGTCTCAGGGCGTTCCTGGCCCGTCGGAAGCCGTCGTGGGCTCCTCGCTGTGCCGCTTTGGAGCACCTTGGGGGCGCTTCAGGGCCGTCGTGGAGGGTATTTTTGGGCCTTCTTCGGAGCCTCTGGGGCTGTCATCGAGCCATGTTGGAAGCCTCTGGGGCGATCTTGGGGGCCCCAAATCCTTTTAACATCATGTTAGAACAAACATGGTTTGGGCCTCTTCTGGCCTTCTCTGGAGGGGATACTGGGCCATCTTGAGGGTGCATCTTGAGCGGTCTGGGAAATAATTGGCGGCCATCTTTGGCTCTCTGGCCCCCGGGTTGGGAATCTGGCGGATTTTGCCGTGCCCCCGCCCCGCCTCAGAAAGAGGAGCACAGGCGGAGCAGGCCCCCCCGGCCCCTGCCCCGGCAGAGCCCCCCCCCCCCGCTGCAGGCTGTAGCCTGGGCTCTTTGGAACTCCCACGCCGGATCGGCGGATTTTGGCGGTACCGCATGGGTATGCTCAGAGCGTGAATTACCTACCCCGCTTTCGCTTCCAGGCAAAACCAAGCCATACCACGCGCCTCCTCGTCAAGCGGCCTGACCAGTACAGGCTGCAATTTGGCGTCGTTTGGTATCTCTTGGAAGCGAGGGTGGTCAAAAGCGAGGTAGGTTTGTTTTCCCCCTATATGCTTAACCACGGGTATGTTGGAATCCCGCCGAGGGCTGTCATTTCAGGGCGCCTTTCGGGCATTGCAGCGTTGCCCCCCATCAGGGAGGGTCGGATTCGTTGGGTCTCTGGCCAACGTGCCCGTCATTGGGAGCGCTGGCTGCCCCCCCCCCTTCGTCGTCGTCGTCGTCGTCGGCGTCGGCGTCGGCGTCGTCGTCGTCTTCGTTCTTCGTTCTCCTCCCTCCCTCCGTCTTGTGGGCCAGCCTGGCGCCCAGGTCGACGCCACGGGCCACCTGAACGAGCTGAAGCTCAAGGGCGTCGCCGGCGCCAGCGGGCGAGGACGCCGCAGCAGCCCCCCCCCCCGGGGTGCGGGGCATCTCTCGGCGGAGTGAGCGGGGGGCGGGGGAGGAACTGCCTTTGGTTCAGCGGCGAGCGAGGGGGGAGTGCGAGAAGGAGGAGGCCCTCTCAGAAGGCACGTCGGAACTTCTCAGAATCCCTCCGGCAACTTTGGGAGTCTTGTTCTGTGTGTCTTCGGGGAGAGGTTCGAATTGTTTGCCCGGGCCTTCTGAGAAGGCCCGCCTCCTCTCACTTCCCCTCTGGGCGCGCCGCTTGGCAGTCCGCGTGCACCAGCGAGGCAGGTGCCGGCCAATATATATATATATATATATATATATATATATATATATATATATCGGGAGGGGCGTTCTGGAGACGAGCTGTGGCACAGAAGGGGCCGGGCAGAGGAGGGAGGCGGAAGAGAAAGAGTCTCGGTGAGAGCATGCAGTCATTCTTGCGCATGCCGGAGGTGCACAGTGAGCACGTAAGGGAAGGCGAAATTCAGTGGACTCATCGCGTCGTGAAACGAGGGTCGGAGCGCCTTCGGCGCGCGGGGGATGCCCGCGACGGGGGTCGATGTGGGACTGTCGGCGGGGCTGACGCCCCCCCGACGCTGATTACGAAACTCGGAGTGACGTTTCTTGACGATGGTCGCCTCTTGGGCTGACCTGGCCAGCCTCCATGAGGGCCCAAGGTGCCTTCAATACAGCTCCGGCAGGGGTCCCTCGAGCAATCTGGACGCATTCTGGAGGTTTGGAGTCCGAGTCGCGCAACATGCCAGCTCGAAGCATGCGGGGAAAAGAAACTCATGGGGCGTGCCCCTCACCCATTTTCTCAGTCTCCACTGCCACTGGCCCCCCCCCTGGCGGGAAATGGATCGAACGGGAAGGGGCGACCTTTCTCAACGATTGCTCCCATGCGCCAGGGTGTAGGATCCACGGGAATCCAGGTGTGGTGCGTTTCGGGGGGTTTTGTGTTAGCGCCAGACGGCTCCAAGAACGACTTGTGAGAGTCTCAGGCGCACCAAGGTCGAAGGCCAACACATACGATGAGTCAGATGGCGATATCTTGGGAATGAGAGCAAGGGACTGGCGTAGCCAACTCTCGCTTGGTTCGCTTGCGGGCTCGCAGGCGAACCAAGTATTCCATTCTGCATCAAGAACATGTTAGAGTGAGAAGGCCGAACGGTCATTCACCGTCTGGGTGCGTGGCTGAAGTGGATTTCCGCGGTGTGGATTGTTGTTGCGTTGCGTTGCGTTGCTGTCGTCCCTCCCGCGACCCAGCTCGCGACCCGGCCTCCCTCCTCCCTTTCCTCCTCCATCCGTCCCCCTCGACCTCCCCCCTCCCCTCCAGCCCCTCCTCCCCCACCCCACATCCCCCCCCCGCCCCCGATCCCCCTCCCGCTCCCCCACCCCTCCTATCCCCCCCTCGGCCCCCCGCCCGCCCTTCCTCCTCGACCCCCCCCCCCGCGGCCCTCCCCTCGCCTCCCACCTCGCCCCTCCCCCCTGCGCCCCCCCCGACCCCCCCAAGCGGCAGCCGCTGCAGGACACAACCTGGGCATGGACCTGCCCCTCGGAGGCCCGCCGCCGCGCGAGCGCGCCCTCCGGCGGCTCTGGCCGCGCCGCTCCGCGCCGCACGGCGTCGTCGTCGTCGTCGCCGTCGTGGTCGTCGTCGTCGCCGTGGTCGGCGTCGTCGTCGTCGTCGTCGTCGTCGTCGTCGTCGTCGTCGTCGTCGTCGTCGTCGTCGTGGTCGGCGTGGTCGGCGTCGCCGTCGTGGTGGTGGTCATCTCGGCGACCTGCAGGTCGAGCGGGGCAGCGCTTGTCGACCAGAAGCAAGAGTGACCTTTCGCCGGAGTGACCTGTGATGCGGGCCCTCGGGAGCCTCGAGACGGGGGTCAACGCAAACGGGGGTCAGCCAGGGCACCAGATCTTGCAGGATCCTGCGAAGACCCCCTCTGGCTGACCCGGGTTAGCGAGCCGCTCGTGGCCGCGAGGCGGCCGCGCATATTGGCTGACCAGGGTTTGCGAAGACCTGGGTTGCAGTTTTTTTCCTGCATTGCAGTTTTGGGTTTCCTGCTGACCCGGGTCTGGATTGACCCGGGTCAGAAGATCCCCGAGGCCCAAGGGGGTCCCTCGACCGCCAAACGCGAAGCGGTGGCAGCGGACTGCGCGTCCAGGTTTCGCCATCCCGCGTCCCCCGCCCAGGTGGCGCCGCCCAGGGTTCGCCACCCCGCGCGTGAAGCATCACTCTTGCACAGGGTCGCTCTTGCGTGTAGCCGAGCTGGTCGCTCGAGGGATCAGATCCGATGCCGCTGTCGGCCAATGCTTGCTGCGCAGGCCTCAGCCTCGGCAGACGTCAGAGGAGGAAAGGGTACCCATACCCCTACGACCCTTCCCTCGTTTGCCCCTTCTTGGGCCTCCTTGGAGGTCCTCGTCGCCACCGCTGGTTTTCCCGCGAGGTTCTCGTCAGGACGCACCCAGAGAGAGGTCCAGGGAGTAGCAGTAGCGGTATCGGTACCTTTGGGCTTCCCCAAGATGTGCCGTCAGCCGTGGCTCTCGGCATTTGCCCCAGCACAAGCTTCCGCCTCGGTCGAAGCTGAGCAAGCATTGGCCTTCGGCATTCGCCCCAGCGCGGACCGACACCGATACCGCTGTTCGGCCCCGTTTGCTGCTCCTCCTGGAGATGAAACAAGACACATTGCATAAGCAGACAGAGCTCCGCGCGGATGTCTTGGATCGGCCTTGGGCCCTTCAGGCGGCGCCGCCCCTGGCGCGCTCCGCGCGGAGCTCCAAAAGTTGATCGAGGGGGCGTGGGTTAGCGACGGGTCCCGCTTCCATGAGGATCGCGGATTGCCGCCGCCGAGCAGGGCGGCACTGGCCGCATGTTGGGGGAGGGCACCTCCCCCGATCCCATGGATCTGGCGACCGCGCGCCAAATCTCGGGGGTAGACAGAACCCCCAACAGTGACACGTCGATTCGTGAATTGTCCGTTTTCGGTTCTCGAAAGGGCACCGTGGCCGTTTTTTTCCAGGCTTGCGCCCGCCAGGTTTGGGCCTCAGGTCGTTTTCACCAAACCACGTTTTGCTAAAGGGGGGTCTGCCCATCCACGAAAACCCATGGATCGCCAAGCCATGACTGCGCGCCCCCGACAAGCCTGGGCATGACCTTCCAAGGATCCTCGCTGGTCTCTTGGAGTCGGCGCGGGGCCCCCCATTCTTGCGGCGCCGCCTCGGGCGCCGGCCCCCCTGGGATGGCGGCCCGCGGTGCCAGGGTGTAGGGGCGTCCGGCGCCGACCCCAGGGAAGCCACGGGGACCGACGGCTGATGCTGGCGTCTTCGATGCTTCGTTCGCGAGGGTCAGGTCGGGCACGTGTGTCTCTACAGGACGAGCATGTTCAAGAGCAGGCAAGACATGAGCCGGGGACGATTTTTTTGTTGTGCCCCCGTGGATGATGTTTGGAGCCTGTGTGTTGGCTATGTTTCTCATTCTTCCCTCGAGTATCCGCCTGCAGGAGGACATGCCCGACCTAGCACGAGGAGGGAGGAGGGGGCGCGTTCCCGTCCCCTTCCCCCCCACCCTCTGCGCCTTCTCCTTCTCCTCCCTTCGCTGTCCCTCCCCCATGCAAATCCTTTTTGTTCCTCCTCAGCATCGCCTCGTCTTCCTCATCTTCCTCGTTCCTCGTCGTGTCTCAGTATCGTCTCGTCTTCCTCGTGTTCTTTTCCTGCCCTCCTCATCTTCCTCTTCTTCCCCCCTCTGTTCCCCGCTCTCCTCCTTTCGCGTCGTTGCCCTCCCCCTCCTGCCCCAACTTGTCCCTCGCTCGACTTCTGTACAACCCTCCCTTGCTCCCAATCGCCGGCGGTGCGCATCGGCCCCCATCGCGCAAGCCGCTGGCGAGGCCTGGGCAATCCTACGCCGAAGCACCCCTCCGGCAGCATGCTCGTGGGCCCGGCCGGCGTGCCGTACAAGCAGAAGGGCCAAGACTGCGTCCACGTCAAGGACACGCAGGGTTGTCTGCCACTCTCAAGTAGTGGCGAGGCGTCCTGGCTTGCCTATAGGCCCACCAAAGAGTGTTCTCAGAACCTCGTGTGGTTCGCACGAGTGTTTTTTTCTGAGACTGCCGTGTTGTTAGCACGCCGGGCTGATGTTCCAAGAGAGTCGTTCTTGGTTTTAGATCATGCTTGGGTTTCTGAGAGTCTCGTGGTAGGCCTGTATCAGGAGGGAACAAAAACACACGGACACAATTAATTGTCGATCCCCAGGAAAATATGGGAAAATATGGGAAGTGGGGGGGAAGGCGAAAATCCAGAAAATATGGGAAAATATTGGGAATCCTTTTATTTGTGTGTATTTGTTTGTGTGTCCCTGGGCCCCTTTACTGTAGAAGTGCTGGGACGGGCGGTCCCCGCTCAGCAGTCGCGTGCCTTGGTTCCACGCGTCTGCGCTCCCCCTCGGAGGTGGCGGCCCTCCTCTCGCGGCGGGGCGCGGCTCGAGCGGCCCAGTGCTGCCGGCGACGGTGGGAGGGGCAGGAGTGGAGAGCCACCGCCGCGTCGAGCGGTAGCGTGAAGTCGGGCGCGTCCCTCTCTACAGGAGGAACATCCAAGAATAGTCCAAAAACAGTCTGGGGACGACGTTTCGACGATTTCTGACGTTTCGACGACGTTTCGACAGTCTGGAATATGTTTGACTATTGTTCCCCAGCCATCCTGTGGTGTTGGGTCTTCGTTTTGAAGAGACATCGCCGCGCGTCTCCTCCTCCCGCTGCCCCCCTCCTCCCTCCTCGTCCTTGCTTTTGCTCTCCGCATGTCTCTGTTTCGGCACACCCATCACACGTTTCGTGGTCCCACGGGGAGCTCCACCTATGGTCCCAGCGGCGCAGCTCACATGACGGCCCCGCCCCATTTTGGCACACCCGTCAGACGCTTCGTGGCCCCATAGGCAGCTCCACCGAAGGTCCCAGTGGCGCAGCTGGCATGGCGGCCCCGCCCCATTTTGGCACACCTCTCACACGCTTGGTGGCCCCATGGGGAGCTCCACCGCTGGTCCCAGTGGCGCAGCTCGCATGGCGGCCCCGCCCCATGTTGGCACACCCCTCACACGTTTCGTGGTCCCATATGGAGCTCCACCTATGGTCCCAGTGGCGCAGCTCGCATGGCGGCCCGCCCCATGTTGGCACACCCTTCAAACGCTTCGTGGTCCAATAGGCAGCTCCACCTATGGTCCCAGTGGCGCAGCTGGCATGGCGGCCCCGCCCCATCAGCGGCGCAGCTCCCATGGCGGCCCCGGGAAGTCTATGGCCAAAGCTTCTGGGCACAAGCGGTTCGCAGCCAGACCTTCTCTCGGTCCCGTGGACTTATCGCCCTGGACCGTCGGTTGTCCGGCGCGCTGCTCTTTCGGCCGACGTCACCCAGGCGTGATCTTGGACTGCGGCCGTTACGAGGTCGGGAATGGCAAGAAGGAGGACGATGACTGGTGGCTGGAGCTCTACGTGCTGCTTTCGCGCGCCACGCGCCACCTACGAGGTCGGGAATGGCAAGAAGGAGGACGATGACTGGTGGCTGGAGCTCTACGTGCTGCTTTCGCGCGCCACGCGCCACGAGGACCTCCTGCTCGCGCGGGCGCGGCGCATCGAGTTCTTCCTGGCAGGGCCGCAGGAGGGCTTGCGGAAGCAACTGGTGCAGTTTGCAGCGCGCGCGAAGCGGCGCAGAAGGGAGGCGACGGCCCTCGCCGGGGAGGTGGGCTTCACCGCGTCTATCTGCGAGGTTTGACCTGAGGAGCGGCCCGCCCGAGCCTCGCCGTCCCTCGACGGTCTGATCGTTCGGCCTCGCCCCATCGGGCGACCCGCGCGCGTCGCTCGGGCCCTTGCGGGGCGACCGGCGCGCGTCGCGGATATTCCGCGCTGCGCCCTGCCCAGAGCCTCGCTCGCCCCCGTCGCCCCTCCGCCCGCCGGCCGCAGCCTTGCCCGCTATCAGCCAGCCAGCTAGCCTCGTCTGCTCCGCGCAGCGGACGACCCGCGCGCGTCGCCGGGACCCCGTCGGGGCGACCAGCGCGCGCCGCGGGGGCTCCGCGCGGCGCCGCGCCCCCCTCAGCCGTGGGCATCGGCGCGCGCGGGCAAAGAGGCAGAAAAAGAAGGGGGAGGCAGCGGGCGCGATCCTCGTGAGGAGCGTGCCGACGTGGGCGTCGACGTTCGCGCACGTAGACTGATTCGCACGCAGACTCATTCTCAATCGGACTCGCGCTCACGCTCGCCCGTTCTCAATCTCGAGCGCTCGGACCGACCATTTTTGCTCGTGCTGTGGACCCCTTCCACGCATTTCGGCGCGCACCTCGCACGGCTCGTGGCCCCATAGGGAGCGCGAGCGAAGATGGTATTCACAACTGCGGTATTCACAACTGCATATGGTTGGGTCTTTCGCCCGGCTAGTATTATTGTTTCGTCAAAACATCGGCCTGTAGGGGCACATGCCCGACCTGACGGTAGCGGGGCGGGTTTTTTCGCAAGGCTTCTGGAGCGCCTGCGGGGGGCCTCGTTAGGGGAACGAACAAAGTCATAAACATAACCACTCGGGGGTCCGCCCAGATTTTTCGGATCCGCGCTGGACCCCCTGGCGGCGCCTCTGGCGCTGGCCCTTGCGCGCTCCGCGCGCCAGGGAGAGGGGGTCCAGCACAGATCCCAGACCCGCGCGGACATTCGATTTGTTATGTTTATGTCATTGTTCGTTTTCCTATCCAGAGCGTCTGCTGGGGGCCTCGTGGGACCTTATTGGAGGCTCGATTGTGTCTGCCGTGCGGGCTCAGTCGTATCACGGGCGGCGACCCTTACATAAAAAAAAGCGGGGGGGGAACCCAGGGATCTTTCAGGTGGCCGTTCGGGGGCCTCTTGGGGTGCCTCAGGGAGGCATCCTGGGTCGTCTCAGGAACACGGTTGGGCACCGCTGGGGGCTCGCAGGGGTCCTCTCTGCGCCGTCTTGGGATCGGCCAGTGTGGTTGGGAGCCTCCGTGGGCGTCACAGGGACACCAATTGCGTAGGGTCTGCCGCGCAAGTCGGCCGTCGACATCATCGGCCCTGTGGGCGGAAGGAAAATCGGCCCCAGTTCAGGGGGTCGAAGCTGAGATCCTGGGAAAAGTCGCGCCGTGAAACAATCAAGGGAACGCAAACATGGATTCAAGAAGCGTGGATTTGCAACGGGTCTCACTTCCGTGCAGAAGCGGTTCGCTTTGTCGCCAAATCGGGCGGCGTTGTCCTTATGTTTCGATTTGCGTGATCCATGGATCTTGCGCCGAGTCAGATCCACGGATCCCTAAAACATGTAACCGTGTGTCCGACCGAAAAAACAGGACGCAATGTGTTTTGTGTTGCGTGGGTGGGGTGGGGTGGGGTGGGGGGCCATTCTCGGCCTTCGGGCCCCTTACCAGGCCCCAGGGCCATCAAAATCCCACTCGGGACGATTTGTTTTGGTCCTGGGGAAGGGTCGTGGGCGCGCAAACATGGATTTGGCGCGCAGTCGCCAGATCCATGGATCGGGGGAGGTGCCCTCTCCAAAATGCGAGCGGTGCCGCCCCGCTCTGCGGCGGGAATCCGCGATTTCCCATGGAAACGGGACCCGTCGCTAATCCACGCCCCCTTGATCCATGTTTGCGATCGCCTGAAATGACTACCTACCAGACCACCCCAACCCAACCCGAAGACCCGAATTTCGGGTTGGGGGGGGTAAGGGTTCCACACGTGTTTTTTCGATGTTTCCCGACACCCCCCCTACTGGAAATCGAGGGAAAATCTGAGCCTTCGGGTTGGGTTGGGGTGGTTTGGTGGGTGGTGATGAAAGGGGTCCAGAGTTTTTGGGGAGCCACGTTGTGAATCCATCACGGCGTCTGGCCGGCGGTGCGCCCACGGGGGGGAAGGAGCGCGGGCGAGTCCCTCTCGGAAGGCGGCGGGGCGCCCCCAGACGCCCCCCGTGCCTTCCGAGGAGCCCTGTGAGGGCCTCTCCGAGGCCGCAGGCGGCTTCTCGGAAGGCGCGGGGGCTTCGGGGCTCGCCTCCGAGGGGGGGTCAGAGGCTGGGGAGGGGGCCGGGGGCCCTGGGGAGGGTCGGGGGAGAAAAAGATACGGACACGTGTTGCCCCCCTTCGTTTTCGGCCTTTCCTGGTCCTCCTGGGGAATCCTCGTTGTCACCGCTGGATTCGCCTCGAAATTCTGGTCAGAACGCACCCCAAGAGAGGTGCGGGGACAACACGTATCCGTATCTTTCCGCCCCCCCAGAGGGGAGGCCCACGTGCGGGCAGCACTCCTGTCCATGTCCACTGCAGCCTGGAGTTTCGGGCTCCCCTCCCCAGAAGCCCGAGGCGCACCGGATGGGCATGCGTACATGGGAGCCGGAAGAAGGGACTGAGGCCAGCCTTGCACTCTCTCCAGCCCTGGCCGGCTTCCCTTCATTTTTCCAGCCCTGGCGACCGCATCCCTACTGTTTCGGGCTCGCTTCGTTTCCAGCGCTGGTCACTTCCACCTTCACTGATTTTCCAACTTCACTTTTTCCAGCTTCCCTGTGATAATCAATCTGCCCTCCAGAGGCTCGATTTTTCTCCATGTCCAGAGCGCCTCGGCCTTGCGGCGCCCCCTCCCAGGAACGTCCACGACGCACTGGCTGTGGAACAGATCTTGCCCGCGCCATGGTGCCTGTGCGCTGAGAGGCGCGCCAGGTACTGCCCCGCGGAAGGTCAGAGAAGGCAGAGGTACCCATACCGCTGCCCCTGGCCCCTTTTCCCCTTGTTGCGGCCTCCTGGGAGGCCCTCTTCGCCGCCGCTGGATGCGCCTCGGAATCCTAGGCAGAAAGCACCCCTGGGAGAGGTCTGGGGAGTAGCGACACAGGTACTTCTTTTGATTTCCCACAAAAGGCCTCCTCGCGTGCCTGCACAGGCGGCCTCGCACTGGAGGGAGGCCCGACCGAGTGCGCCGGGGCCAAGGTATCGGACCATGTGTTCCCCGAGTCGGTTTGGAAAGTGTTCGGGGAACACGGTGGGGGAGGAGGAAGGAGAGGAGATGGAGGAAGAAGGAAAAGGGAGGAGGAGGCCTCTTTGGAGCCTCTAGGGCTACTCTAGGGTTTTATTGGGCCATCTTTGCGGCCTTGGAGGCATCTTGGGACTGTCTTGGAAGCCATTTTGGGGCTGTATTGGGGCTTCTTGGGGCCATCTTTGGAGGCCTCCTTGGCCTTCTTGCGCGATGGCGCTGAAATTTATCATTTGCACAAACTTGGTGGGACAACGGACTGCATTGTTTACTCGGTGACCAGAAAATAGCATGAGGAAATAATCGGAGCCAGTCGATGGAGGCAGTGTTGGGTGCATCTTGGGCGTTGTTGGAGGCGGAGCTTGACCAAGCCATCGGACCATGTATTCCCCGAGTCTCGCCTCGACACCTTCGGGGAACATTTGGGGGGAAAAGAGACGGAGAAGGAGAGGGGGGAAACAGCAGGAGGGAACAGGAAATTGTTGAAAGTTTCTTGGGGCACTTTTGGGCTTTGGGTGCTTTGTTGGAACTTCCTGTGGACCTTTTGAATGCTTCTCGGGAGGCCTCCTTGGCCTTCTTGGGGACCTCTGGGGACTCTTTGGGGGAGTCTTTGGTCGTCTTAGAGCGTTCCTGGCCCATCTGACGCCGTCCGAGACCGTCTTTGAGGCCTCTCGGAGCCGACTTCAGGCCCTCATGGGCCGTGTCAGGGCGGTCTTCGAGGCAGTCTAGGCGTCTTGGAGGCCTCTTGGGTCGTCTTGAGGCCTTCTTTGGACGAACTGGAGGCATCTTGGACTCTCTCGGGCCGTCTTGGAGGCCATCTTGGACCATCTTGGGCGGACTTGGAGGCCATCTTGGAGGCCATCTTGAGCCGTCTTGGGGGATTTTTCTGGGATTGAGCTCCTGGAGCTCCCTTTCGGGTAGCCGGCGGGACGGGCCGAAGCGCCAGGGGGAGTTCTTCTGGAAAAAGAACCAATGCCAAAAGCGGAAGGTCCGAAGATTTTGGCTCAAGGTTCCGGCCTCCTAGGGCTCCACTCGGGCGTCTCTCGTTCCTCTCAGATTTTCAGCTGTGCACATCTGCAGACGGCATAATGCGCCTGCGCACGTCTCACAGCGTCGGCGCGCTGCTCCTGCTGCTGGCGGGTCCTGCTGCTGGCGGGTCGCAGGCGAGCGGGACGCTGGCCCGCCCGAGGCTGGAGGCCTCGGCGAGCGGTCGCCCTCGCGAGCCGCAGGCCGAGTTCGGGATGCGCCAGGCTACCAGCGGCGCGCAGTTGTTGCTCAAGCTCTTGGCGAGTGATGGGGCTAATAACGACCTTTTCGGAGTCTCGGTGGCCGTGAGCTCCGACGGGGCCCGCGTGGTGGTGGGGGCCTACTATGACGACGACCAGGGCACCAATTCTGGCTCCGTGCACGTGTTCGACGGTACCACCGGCGTGAGGCTGCTCAAGCTTGTGGCGAGTGATGGGGCTGATTACGACGGTTTCGGATTCTCGGTGGCCGTAAGCTCCGACGGGGCCCGCGTGGTGGTGGGGGCCTACTATGACGACGACCAGGGCGACGATTCTGGCTCCGTGCACGTGTTCGACGGTACCACCGGCGTGAGGCTGCTCAAGCTTGTGGCGAGTGATGGGGCTGATTACGACGGTTTCGGATTCTCGGTGGCCGTGAGCTCCGACGGGGCCCGCGTGGTGGTGGGGGCCTACTATGACGACGACCAGGGCGACGATTCTGGCTCCGTGCACGTGTTCGACGGTACCACCGGCGTGAGGCTGCTCAAGCTTCTGGCGAGTGATGGGGCTAATGACGACCTTTTCGGAGTCTCGGTGGCCGTGAGCTCCGACGGGGCCCGCGTGATAATGGGGGCCTACTATAACGACGACTAGGGCAGCAACTCTGGCTCCGTGCACGTGTTCGACGGTACCACCGGCGCGAGGCTGCTCAAGCTTCTGGCGAGTGATGGGGCTGATTACGACTGTTTCGGATTCTCGGTGGCCGTGAGCTCCGACGGGGCCCGCGTGGTGGTGGGGGCCTACTATGACGACGTCCAGGGCAGCGTGCACGTGTTCGACGGTACCACCGGCGAGAGGCTGCTCAAGCTTGTGGCGAGTGATGGGGCTAATAACGACTATTTCTGAAACTCGGTGGCCGTGAGCTCCGACGGGGCCCGCGTGGTGGTGGGGGCCTACTATGACGACGACCAGGGCAGCGTGCACGTGTTCGACGGTACCACCGGTGAGAGGCTACTCAAGCTTGTGGCGAGTGATGGGGCCGAGTCCGACCGTTTCGGACGATCGGTGGCCGTGAGTTCCGACGGGGCCCGCGTGGTGGTGGGGGCCAGCCTTGCCGACAACGACGACGGCAGCAACTCTGGCTCCGTGCACGTGTTCGACGGCACCATCGCCACCACCAGGACGGCCACGAGTTCCGCGACGTCAAGCACTACTACTGAGACGACCAGTTCCGCGACGTCAAGCACTACTACTGAGACGACCACCGCGACAACAACTGAGACGACCACCGCGACAACAACTGAGACGACCACCATCAAGACAACCACCGAGATAACGACCACCAAGACGGCCACGACGACCATTGATACAGGCACGAGTTCGGCCACATCAAACACCACAGCCACCACCGAGCCAGGGGAAGTAATTCAAATTGCAGTCTTGATCTTGGCTGGTGCCTGGATCTTGTTCTTGGGCTACGCTGTCGCGCTGGGCTGCCTGGTGAGGCGCGGGCTTGTCAGGGGCCCAACACCCTAGCGCGGCATTCACAAAGCCAGGCACCTCTCTGATGAATCAATCGGGGGCGGCGGAAAACGCCTATGTGGCCGAGAGTTGGGCCAGAGCTCGGCCAAGCTATTGGGCCAGAGCGCGGCCTTCCGCATGAAGCCCTGGTCAGCTCCCCGCCAGGCGTTTTTCCGCAATCGGGGAAACATGTGACCTTCTGAGAGTTATCGGTGAAACTCTCACCAGTTTTGAAGCCCTGGTCAGCTCCCCGCCAGGCGTTTTTCCGCAATCGGGGAAGCATGCGAGACCTTCAGAGACTGGACTGGACTGGAAAAGGCCGCGCGTAGACGGCGCATCGGCAAAAGATTCGGCAATCCAGAATATACAGGGGGTTCCCTGATTACGGGCCCCCCTCGGGATGCCCAGGGATCACATCTTGGACCCCTGCGGGGGCGCTGTTGGAGCGCTCTTGGGCGCTATTAGGGTCGTTTTGGGAGCCATCTCGGGTCTCTATTTGGGATTATTTCAGGTTTTCTTGGAGCCATCTTGAGGCCTCGGAAAGCCATCGGAAGCGAAAAGACGAGAAAACAACACAAACATTAATATTTTCACTCGTACTCGAGGGATATTGGGCTCTTGGAGGGTCTCCTTGGCAGGCTCCGTGGCTACTTGGAGCTGTCCTGGGGCGGTCTTCGGGCCTGTTGGAGCATCTTGAGAACCATCTTGAGGCATGTTGGGCTATCTTGGAGTCCCTGTTGGCGCCATTTTGGGCCATCTTGGACGCTCTCACCGCCCGCGCCCCCCCCCATCCCCCGCCCAGGTCCAGGGGCGAGGGGGAGGGGGGGGGTAACCCTCCCCGAAGGGGAAGACGGGGAAAGATGGAAGAGGAAACTCGCCAGACCACCTACGCCCAGGATGGCTGGTGGGGGGGAACCATCCGTATAGTTTGCTCAAGTGGCGACCATCCTTGGCCCGTAACTGCCCATCTGCCAAGGCGACCCATTATTGTATGTCCCGCCGCTCGACCCGACCCGTCCCGCCCGTGAGGGTCCGCCCGCCCGACCCGACCCGTCCGCCCGCCCGCCGGACCCGTCCCGCCCGTTAGGGTACTCGCGTGCCAATTCGATGATGCATCATACTTTAATGTCCCGCCCGCCCGACCCGACCCGACACGCCCTTCAGGGTCCGCCCGCCCGACCCGACCCGTCGCGCCCGTTAGGGTCCGCCCGCCCGACCCGTCCCGCTTGTTAGGGTACTCGCGTGCCCACTCGATGGTGCATCATTCTTTAATGTCCCGCACGCCCGACCCGACCCGTCCCGCCCGTTAGGGTCCGCCCGACCCGACCCGACCCGTCCCGCTCGTTAGGGCTTTCGCGTGCCAACTCGATGGTGCATCATTCTTTAATGTCCCGCACGCCCGACCCGACCCGTCCCGCCCGCTAGGGTCGGGGCCGCCGGACCCGTCCCGCCCGTGAGGGCACTCGCGTGCCAATTCGATGGCGCATCATACTTTAATGTCCCGCACGCCCGACCCGACCCGACCTTTCCCGCTAGGGTCCGCCCGCCCGACCCGACCCGTCCCGCCCGTTAGGGTCCGCCCGCCCGCCGGGACCGTCTCGCCCGTTAAGGTACTCGCGTGCCAACTCGATGGTGCATCATTCTTTAATGTCCCGCCCGACCCGACCCGTCCCGCCCGTGAGGGTCCGCCCGACCCGACCCGACCCGTCCCGTCCGTTAGGGTCCGC